GGAAGGGACTCAGAAGTCGCCGCTATCACGCGCTCGAGAACACGCCATCGACAATGAAGTTGTCATGCTCAGCGGTAGAATAGAGCCCGCATAAACAAAGTATGTTTGGCTGCTCATTACGATTGTGCTACTTTAATGGGTCCCCCTACTTTAACTAATCCTTTTAAGGGCTTGTAGCCCACCTTACCGACGCGATTTTCGGCTTATCACGGTCACCCCAGTGCACGTAAAACAAATCTCCATATTAGTCCCACCGCTATGGCCGTTTTACGTAGCCATCTTTAGAGGGTTGTTTCCCATCAATTTTGTTCATGAAGTTCTTTGTTATTCCAACAGAGTTGTTTTCAAAGGGAAGAGTATAACGTGAAGCCGTTCTTGTGTAAAAATTGCGTATCACGCGCTCCCCTTAGGCTTCGAGCCACGTGCTGATTTCGGCACTGCTACGCACCTGTGAAGGTGGTACTGTGGAACAAAGGAGTCGCGAACAAAGCCGTAGTTGCTCAGTGCGATCGTGTTGAGGCCAGGTCACTTCAAGCTTGAACGTCCATAACCTCCACCTCTACGGCTTCTTCTCTAGATCATCTCTCCAGATTTCTCTTCACCTATTCAGCTTGATTAATCTTGAGAAAACGAACGCCCACTCGAAACTGGTATGCAGTAGCAACAATCATCCTTTATCCACTTTTTCTAGTCTTCACCATCTGCTTGACCTCTGAAGCGCGAACTTCTTTTCAACATCCACTCTTGTAGATGAAGCTCCGCCGCGCACCACGAATCTTCCACAAGATTCGGAAGCTAACTGATAGGCTTACCAACAGAGTCCGTGGACGTGACGGTAAGAATTGGCCTTGATTAATGAGGTGGACCACTTTTTTACGAATGTAACTTTGCCCTCACTTCTGTAGATGTCGAACGTAAACTGATGGAAACGAAGCAAACTATGCTGCCGAGATTGATGATTGCAAAGATTTCTGCCCACACTGACGACGGCACCCCTCGAACCGGATCTGAAAGTGCACCCGAATCCCATCTCGAAGAGAACCTGGCACATGAACATGGCGCCTTGGTCTCCCTTGATCTTCCGCTTTGGAAATCGGT